ACAAAAATGGCCAGCCAGGCCCTAACTCCCTCGGCAGCCCCTTAAACGCTGGGCCCTCACAGCCAGCCCGACCCCTGTCAGCACTGTGTCCCTCTGCCTGGTCTTCTAAAGCCCCTGCTCATTTGCTCTTAGTCTCCAGTTCAAGGTTTTGCCTGTAAATCAGTGCGAGTGGCTGTTCTCACGTCCAGTGTCACTGAGTGACTTCCACTTGGTAAATACATGTGAGGAGGTTCAGGGGGCACGAGGGGGCGCTCGCTTCTCCCCAGAGGAGGGAGCGGAGGCCTAGCGGGAGGACTCTGGAGAGAGAGCAACCCCAGAACTGCCACCAGCACTTCCCCCAGGAAAGGGCGCTGGGAGGAACCTAGAAGAATGTCTCAGAAAACCACCTTCAGACCTGGCTTTGCTGGAAAGAAAGACGTAATTGTGAGGCAAGAGAGCCTGCCTGTCCTTGGGGAAGGCCGGGGCTGCGACACCAGGCTGGGCTGAGACGCATCCTGCCCCCAACTCGGAGCCACGGGTGCCTCAGCCGGAAGCCTGTGGGGGTTTTGGAGCCAGCGACCCCATTCCCACCAGGGCACCCGGAAGGTAGAGAAAGCTATGGGCCAAGAGAGTCTGGCCCGTGCCTTCCTGCAGCGGTACGATCCTGGCCTCCTCACCACGCCACACGCAGGCTCGGCGGAAACCAACACAGAGATTCCACCATGGCTGGAGGGGCTTGGGAGAGTCCATTCCCCTCACTCAACAGGTAGGGAAACTGAGGCTCAGGAAAGAGACTTTCCCTCTTCCCAAACACACTTTTAAACTCATTGTTTGAGATTTCCCACCCTGCCCTCATCTGGCTTCCCCGTGGTCACTCTGTGTCACCATGGAACGCTGTCAGAGCACAGGAAGCTGGCACTGCTCCGCACCCACTCACCAAACCCCAGGCTTCCTGTGGGTTCCACCGCTTTCCCCAGGAGTGCCCTCCTTATCTTCCAGGATCCCACCCAGGAGACGTTGTATTTAAGGTTAGGTCTCCCCAGTCTCCTGTGGTCCGTGATCACTTTTGAGTTCTTCCTTATTTTCCATGACCTTGACCGTCTTCAGGAATTCCCTGGGATTTTCTCATGTTTCTCTCATGACTGAGCTAAGACTATAAGCTTGGGGCATGAGGATCGCAGAGGTGAGGCTTCCGTCACCACGTGAGCCTTGGTCCCAGGGGTTATGGTTCACATCTGGACTCCCCCAAGGCCTCACGGGACCAGAGGTGGGACTCTTGGAAGATGATTGGGTCAGGGAGGCGCAGAGCTGATTGCCGCTGGGAAGTGGGGCCTGGTTGGAAGCGTTCATCTGCCTCTCTGCCTCTCCACTGATTCTCTCTGTTTCCTGTCCACCATGCTGTGAGCAGCTTTCTTACTCCAGGCCCCTCTGCCGTGTTGTCCTGCCTTGGAGCCAGCCGGCTTTTGACTGAAACGTGAACCAAAACAAACCTCTCCTCCCTTAAACTGTCAGGTATTTGCATTTGGATATTTGTTCCAACAACAAGCAAAGCAACTAAGACTCCTGGGCGAAGGTACTATCTTCCCATTTCCCCCGCTATACAGCTACTGAGTCTAGCCACCCAGAAGGAGGGTGGTAGGAGCCGAACTGAACCTCAATTCCTGGAAGGAGAAATATCTACTACGTCATTTGGAATTCTCCGTAAAGAGCTGTCTTTCTCTGTGAATTCAATTATTTACTGATTTATATCCGTATTGACTGGTGTATATTTATTTCATACACTGGGTTATAACCTAGTGCTATTTATTTTAGTGTGCAGACCATTTCATCTTGTTACTGCCACGGTGCAGCCCTCACAGACAGAGCCAGGTGGTAAACGTGCATACACTAAGCCCTGCCCACAGGCGCCTAAACTGTAGCCAGGCCTGCTCACCGGCCGTGCACTGAGCTTCCTACAGACGCCGCTCACTCTAATTCGGTTTCAGGATTCCTTCCAGCCTTCCTTTCTTGCTTAGCTGTAGCTTGCTCCTCTGGCAGTGTGGACAGCCACGCCCCCACTCGGCATTCATTTACATACACATTCAACCCCAGTACTCCCGGGAAGCAGTTTGAGATCCCTAACCCTAACCCTATGGGAAATAACTTTACCAACTCTAAGAATTTCTGGGCAAAACTGTTTTCCAGAGCGATCTGGGTGCGCCCATCCTGTTCCCCAGCCCCCGTGAGTGCAGGTGCACCGTGCATCTGTAAGAATCTTCCTGCCCTTGTATTAATGCACTGCTTCCAAGCTCCAAATGCACACTACAATAAAGTGTACTCTTGCCAGGGATTTAGCTCAGTGTTTCCGCTGGCTGCCTTGCAAGCACAAGGACCCGAGTTTGATCTCCGGTACCAAAGGAAAAAAAAATGTACTTCTGCATCGCAGAAACACAGTTCAGTCAGCAGTGGGCCACAGAGACTGCCACTGCTGTCCCATAAGGTCATGACAGAGTGAACATTTTCTGTCACCTACAGACATTGCGATTGCTTTAGCCTCTTAAACACAGCGGTGCACTGTTGTTTGGTCCGGTGCTGAGTTCTGAAGGCGCCTGTCCTTAGCAGAGAGCGTGATGCCAAGATTTATCAGTAGAGGGCGCTAGAGGGCCACTGCAAGAGGAAAGTGCGGGCTGCAGCCTGCAGTGGCGGGAAAGGGGCAGTGAGGCCAGGGACGGGCTCTCCCACTGGCCGGGTGCGCTGACTGCCTTGGTGGCAGCTCTCTCCACACTCCACTGTCCACGACCCTCTCTAAGGCTCGCCTAGCCTGCACCCTCGAGGCCCGTGTATCCAGCAGCTGCACCTCCTGCCAAATCCACAGGCTCAGGGCTCAGGAGCCCCGAACCCTCTGGACACCGCACACTGGTTCCTGACTGCCTGAGGGGTCTCGCCAAGTTGATAAATTGCCCAGGCTGAAGTTGCAATCTTCCAGCCTCAGCCTCCCAGAGCTGGGACGACAGGTGTGCAACACTATTGTAGACAGGTAAGTTAATTAGATGTCTTGTAGGCAGTTAGACAGGGCCAGCCCTCCTCGAGGAGCCAACAGAGAGGACAATCAGGCCACATTCACTGAAGGCCAGCGTTGTAAAAGAAGAGAAACTGCCCAGCCCTGTTCTTCCCCTAGGGACGAACATCAGTGCCTGATATTCTGTAGGTATCAGTCCTGGGTGGGGGCCAAGGTCTTAACCTACCCCTTCCAGGAATGATCCCTGACCCATCCCTAATGGAAAATCCTTGTATGCCTCCTATGCGACTTGCGTCCCCATTTCCCCATGTAATCAGTATTACCTGGACTACTGTACTTGTGGTAATCTTACTGGTTGAACATAGTTTTGTCCCACCTCATGTCCACCATGCGATCTCTTGCTGGAGCAATATTGCCTAAGCGACTCTACTTGCAACTCACTCTTTGACTGTGGTTTTGTCCCATCTCGAGCCCGCCTCAGCTTGTGGCTTTGTCCCATAAAACACCCTTGCGAAGCAGGGTGAGCAGACAACCCGCGTTCCAGTCCCGCTTCTGTCTGTCTTAGACAGAAGCTGTCTTTCTCTCAATAAATTTTTCCTACTCTTAACCTCTGTGGTTCCCAGAATTCATTCTTGGATTTTAGAGAACACGAACTCACGTTTCGGACACCTAGCAGGTTTGAGAGGTGCTTCTACCCCCCCCATCACCCATGCCTAGCTCCTTAGTATTGTAATATGAGTACCTTACACTAAGATTGGTATCATAGAATAAAAATGTATCTGTTGCTTATCTGAAAGGCAAGCCGTACTGGGCATTCTGGATTTTGTTTTCTTTGCTCTACCTGACTACCCCAGCCTGGAGTTTTACACAGCCCGGCCAGATGCAGAAGCCCGTGGCTGCCAAACCAGCCTACAGGGAAACTCAGCCCCTCCAGCCTGGGTCTAACCCCACCCTCTAAAGAGAGACTATGAGAGTCCAGAAAGTCCCAGTCTTCTGCTTAGAAGATGCTAATTTCAAAGTCATGTGTGTTTTGTAGACAATAAAAATTAGAAAAGGAAAAAAATTTTTAGACATTTTATAATAACAATAATTTTTTTAAAGGCCCTATGAATAAATCTAACAAAGGTTGTTGAAGATTTTTATGCAAAGATTACTTAACTTCACTAGGTACGTTAACAAGGCCCCACTCTCTCCCTAAAGGAGAGCTGAACCAAGCCGGTGGACCAGACACCAGAAAACTGCAACCTCCGAAGAAGCCCTGCGCCCTCCCTGTCTGTCATCCCTGGAGCGGCAGATGGGCCCTCCCAGGAGAGTGGTCGTCCTGGACCACTGTGCAGCTGAGGAAAAGCCTGGGAAGGAGAGCCTCCTGGAGAGAATCTAGCTTCTAGTTAAACATTAGCCCGGAACCAGGGTGCCCAGGTCCCAGTGCAGCAGGAACACATAACCGAGCTTATTCGCGAAGTTACCAAGATACGTACCCAGCGGTCTCCCGCAACCTCAGCCACCCAGCCCTGATCACCAGGTCCCTGAAGGCAGATGTGACCCCATGGGCCATGACAGTTCCTCCCAGGGCCACAGAAGGTCAAACCCTCCACTGCCCTACGGAGGAGCTGAGACTTGTCTTTTCTCCTCAGATAAAATCACCACTCTTGTTGCTATTCTTGGGGTCCCGCTCAATTCTTCGCTTAAGACATCAGAAACCTGAGCAAGACCCCGACTTGGTCACACACCTGCCCCGGGAGTGCCAAGGCCAGGCACTAGGGACAGGCCTTTACCCAGAGCCCTCAAAATCACTCCCATTAGCTGATCCCATGAAGCTTCCATAACCCCACATCACCTGCCTCACACAGTCGTCCCTCCAGCGCCACCTGCTGTCCTCTGTTCCCAGACACCCTGAGAAGTCCCACCCGGCCACCATCTCTTGTTCAGATCTCTAAGGAACAGAAACCTCTGGGTTTCTTCTGATTTCATGTCTCTGTGTTGTGTCTGTCAACCAAAGAAACTTTAGATCACCAAACCTCTCTCAAGATCTTTAATGACATCAGCAAAGACGCTTTTTTCAAATACGTATTCCCAGTGCTATTGTGGGATGCAGGTTCTGTTGTTCCAGGTCCCTGGTGTCCTCAACACAGAACTGGTCAAGGCTCACAAAGAGGCAGCGAAGGTGCACTTTTACTGAAGGTGGGAAAGAAGCCTGCTCTGCAGAGTGAGAGCAGCCAGTGGAAAGGCTCACAGCAGCCCTGAGGATAAGGGAAGGGATCCTTTGTGCCCAAGATTCCTGGGTTATCTGTCCCCTGCAAATAAGGCTTTGGGACAGCCGTCCTGTCCACCATTCACTTGGCTCATTCCAGTGAAAACTGTCCTATCAAGAAGCCTGTCTGGCTTCCTGCCATATGCAAATGAAGGATCAGGAATTTCGCCTTCTGATTGGCTGTGCCCACATGCAAATGAAGGATTGAAGAGAGCATCTACTGATTGGTCCTGTGACCAAGGATTGTGGGGTGCCTCTCGTCCTGGGAGTGTTGCTCTGCCTTGGGGAGAGGGGATATCTTTTGGGGTTGCCACAGTTCAACTCCCCGCACCCTCTTTGACGAGGTCCCCAGCAGCTGCTAACCACTGGCTTAGGCACCTGGCTGGTAAGAGAGTGGAACTCTGCATTTGAGACAGAGGACATCAGAGGGTCTGGGGACCCCGGAGAATCCAGGACAGCCAGCAAACTGCACTAGGAGCTCGTGGACAAAGGAGGACACGGCTGATTGTCACTGTTCCCGTGCAGCTGTTTTATAAGGTTGTCTGGAACCCCGAGCCATTCTCCGGAGGGAAACGCAGTTAGGTTCCTGCTAGCCTCTGGTCACAGTCCGGTCACCTGATCAGTCCAGGACCTTGAGCTGTTTCTGTTAAACAGACTTTGGTCGGTACCTGCTGTTGGCTCAAGCTCAAACTCACAGCCAACTGCACAAACTCGCACTTGAAGGACACTTACGTGGCATTCACATTTCTCCTGCAAGGACCATCGCAGCCCCGTGCTCTTAGGGGTCTGACCGCGCATCAGCTGAGGTCGCTGACAAAAGGCACAGAGGTGAAGGACAGGGCAGAACTGGCCACAAGGGGAAGGCGTGCTCACTGCGGGATGAGATAAACAGGCAGAGAACGGAGGAAAGCGGCCAAAAAGAAATTTGGAAAGGGGAGAAAATAAACCAAAAGAGAGAAATGGAGAGGGTTTCCCAAATGTAGTTAATTCATAACTGGGCAAACAGTTGAGAAACGGACCTGCTGCGGTGGGGACTGGGCAGGAGTCGCTGGCCTCCAGGACCTGGGGGGTAGCTGGTGAGAGGAAGGAGACTCAGTTGCCAATGGGAACCAAAAATGCCCTCCCCTTCCTTCCTCGGCTCCGGGATTGTGAGGCCTCGCTCCTGGGAAGCAGCCAGGGCATAGGTCAGCGGCCGGGGGACAGGAAGACCCACCCTGCGGGGGACGGGCCCTGCGGTGTGGACATCCAGAGTCCTGTCCGCCTTCCCAGGGGTGCTGCCAGTGCGAGCTTTGCCACCTCCTCCTCCCTGGCAGCTGCCGGTGGGAGTGGGGTGCCAGCGGGGCCCCTCTGCACAGGGAGAAGCTGCTTCAGGAAGACTGGGCTGGGGTCTCCATCCTCCTGCGCACGGCCAGTGGTCCAGGGCAGCCCGGGGACCACAGAATGCTGTCTTCCTGAGTCTGGGTCCAGCACGGTGACCCGGGATCGCTGAGGGTCCACAATGGCCGCATCCTCCTTTGCCAGGTGCACCCACACCTGACCCGGATCCCACGGCCCTCTGCCTTGGTGATACTGTGATGGGTGAAACCATAAATTACCTGCTCCTAAATTCCCTGTGAAGCCCCCTGTCACTCTGTGGACTTGGGGACAGGCTCCGCGGACCTTGGTCCTTGCGTCACAGGCCTGGTCTGTGGTCCCAACCCAGTGCTCGTGAGGGAGAAGCAACTGAGCCCTCCTGGGGCCAGAGGTCCCGGTCACACCATGGAAGCCACGGATCAGGACATAGAGGAGTGGAACGAAGTGTTCCAGGAGCTAATTCAGGAGGTAAAACCGTGGCACACGTGGACGCTGGTGACAGACAAGGACCTTCTTCCCGATGCCCCGCAGCAGGGCTGGTCGCAGTATCAGCAGAAGACCTTCGCCAGGTGAGCAGGGAGGTGCGGGACACACCCAAAACTGCCTCACTGCGCTCCCCATGCGTGTCACTTGCTGGCCCCGGGGAGGAAGACGTTTGGGCTTCCTTAAAGTTTTTTTCTCTCTTATTTAACTTCTAACAATAGCAGTGGTGGGCACCACTGTGGGTGATGACTGTGTACAAAATTCAGGCTGCAGGGCTGGGACGGGCAAGGGAGAGACAGGAGCGGTTTGCCTGAGGCTGTTGCATTCCTGTCCCAAGCTGGAGACCCCAGGTCCACCCGGAGCCCCTGGGGGAAAGGCCGGAGGAGCAGGGCGCTGAGCGACTTGCAGCAACCCTTCCTCTCCAGAGCCGATAGAATCTTTGTAAAGTGAGACTCAGGGGTTGCCCAACATTTCACCCTCTTCCGGAGGGAGCCCCAGTGGGGGCAGAAGCGAACAGAGGGTGGAGTCCTGGACTCTGTCCTGGCTGCTGCCCCTTCTGGAGGGCTCTAGGTGGAAGAGGAGGCAGAGCTTTCCCAGGCAGGAGCTGGCATCAGGAGCCCCAGAGCAAGTCTCAATCTGTTTATTTCGAGAACCTGGAACTCTGGGCTGGGACGCACGGGGCACAAGTGCTGTGTCCGAGCTGGCGGGGCAGGGCATGGCTCCAGGAAGCCCCAGTGAAGCCCCAGTGAGTTTCCACAGTGGCCTCATAGGGCTTGGAGCATCCAGGCGGCTCCCCATTGGTGCATCCTGGCCTGCACCCTGCAGGGCAGCCAGATGCTCTCTGCCAAGGCCCCCAGCTCTACACCATAGTTGGTGGGGTCCCTGCCCCCCACCAAGCATGGCTGGCTCAGCTGCTGTGGCCATAAAACCAGATTCCAGCCAACACACAGTGCCCAAGGTATGCAGGCAGTGGAAAAGAGGGCCAGAGCAGTAGGAAGAAGCTAATCACTGCTGCCCACTTCCTACTGGCCAGCGGGTCCCATCCAGCGTCTCGCCCACTCCCACGGTTGCTGCCATTTTTCCCACCTGTCCTATCAGCTCCCTGTTCAAATGTCTCAGCCTTGACGGCTAGGGCGGGGCCCCACTCTGGTACCCAGCTGGATGTCAAGGCACTCGGAATGGGAAATGCTCCAGGCTGCCTTGAGCATAGGAATCGGGGTTGGGGGAGAGCAAAAGAGAGAGCTGTCTTCGGGGTGGCTCAGGTTGGGGCCCCTGGGCGCCCCAGCATAGTACATACAGGACCTGTAGGGCTCCCCCTCTGGTCTGCAGCTCTGAGTAAGCTGCATCACTTGTGGATTTCAGCGCAGGATTTTGTGAGCCTTTGGCGGGCTTCCATCTGTCTACGAAGGAAGCTGGTCTCGCGGTCCAGCCAGTGGAGGGCCAATCCCGCCTCTGGCGCCCCTGGGCTGTGGGTGGGTGAAGCTCCCAGGGCCCCTGGTCCCTGCAGCAGGCAGGCTGGATGCAGAAGGCGCTGAGGTCCCTCCCAGCCCACGGGACTCGCTACCGCCACACGGACACCTGCAGGTCACGGGCCTGGCCATGGCATGGGGACAAGCGAGCAAAGGGCACGAGGTTTGCTCTGCTGCCGGCTGCGTGGCTGATGCCCAGGCCCTGCCCTCTGTCCCGCAGGTTCCAGTGCTCCTCCTGCGCTCGCAGCTGGGCCTCCGCCCACGTCCAGGTCCTCTTCCACATGCACTGGAACAGGAAGAAGCACAGGGGCCGCGTGAAGATGCGGGTCTTCTCCCAGAGGTGCAGGAGGTGTGCACAGCCCAGATTTGAGGCTGCGGAGTTCACTCTGGAGAACATCAGGCGGACCCTGACGAACCTGGTGTTCCGCATCCTGAGGAAGTGCTACAAGGAGGGCTTCGAGGCGATGGAGGACATGCCCACGGTCAAGGACACCAGCCTGGAGGGGCCGCACGACAGTCTCAACTGCGAGGCCTGTCTGCAGGGCTTCTGTGCCCAGAGTGGGCTGAGCCTGGCCCCGCAGCGATCAGGGCTCCCCTCGCTGCCTAGCCCCTCCGAGGACACCAGGGCCACTGCTACCTGCAGCCACCGCCCCTGCTCCCCACCCCCCAAGGTGGACAAGCTCCTTGTGTCAGCAGTGGACTCTAAACTTCCCAAGGCTGACCCCAAAGTCAGCCACGCCTCAAAACCATCAGCTGCTCCAAGATATCCAACCGAAGAGGTGTTGCCCACATTAGCAGTGACCCCCAAAGTCTCTAAACTTCCCAAAGCTGACCCCAAGGTCAGCCACGCCTCAAAACCATCAGCTGCTCTAAGATATCCAACCGAAGAGGTGTTGCCCACATTAACAGTGACCCCCAAAGTCTCTAAACTTCCCAAAGCTGACCCCAAAGTCAGCCACGCCTCAAAACCATTGGATACTCTAAGAATTTCAACCGAAGAGGTGTTGTCCACATTAATAGTGACCCCCAAAGTCTCTAACCCTCCCAAGGCCGACCCCAAAGTCAGCCACACCTCAAAACCATCAGCTGCTCTAAGATATCCAACCGAAGAGGTGTCGCCCACATTAACAGTGACCCCCAAAGTCTCTAAACTTCCCAAAGCTGACCCCAAAGTCAGCCATGCCTCAAAACCATTGGACACTCTAAGAATTTCAACCGAAGAGGTGTTGCCCACATTAATAGTGACCCCCAAAGTCTCTAAACTTCCCAAAGCTGATCCCAAAGTCAGCCACGCCTCAAAACCATCAGCTGCTCCAAGATATCCAACCGAAGAGGTGTTGCCCACATTAGCAGTGACCCCCAAAGTCTCTAAACTTCCCAAAGCTGACCCCAAAGTCAGCCACGGCTCAAAACCATTGGATACTCTAAGAATTTCAACCGAAGAGGTGTTGTCCACATTAATAGTGACCCCCAAAGTCTCTTACCCTCCCAAGGCCGACCCCAAAGTCAGCCACGCCTCAAAACCATCAGCTGCTCCAAGATATCCAACCGAAGAGGTGTCGCCCACATTAACAGTAACCCCCAAAGTCCCTAACCCTCTCAGGGCCGACCCCAAGGTGCGCGACTGGCTGGCCATTCACATGCCTTCTCCCACAGACAGCAGAACAGCAGTGGACACAGCCGTTGGGAACCCCAGGGTGATGTCAAGAGAGCCTTCACCTGCACTGCCCCTGCCTGCTAATTCCAGATGGGACAGAGGCCTCTCCTCTTCGAACCAGACCAGGCCCCCCATTTGCCAGGCGAACACCAGGGTCCCGACGCCCCCACTCCCTGAGTCTTGCGATTGCAGCCCCCTGCAGAGCTGCACCCCAGTGCATCTGTGCCTGCGCTGCCCTTGCTGTCTGCTTCTAGTCCTCATCATTGGCGTGGTGCTGTGGTACTGGCTCCCCTAGGAGCCTTGAAGCAGGACACCAAGGTGGGAGTCCCATGCTATAGCCAGAGACCTTTCCTGGATAGGAAAGGTCCCGAAAATCCACAGACCGGAAATGGGTCCTGAGGCCAGGGAGCTGGAAACCAGCTGCCTGATCTGTAGTGGGGTCTCGGGAAGGAGACAGCGGTGGCAGCAGCAAAACAGCCATTGAAATGCTCATTTTTAAGTTGTGGTGACTTTCACCTCAGTTAAAAGAAAAACTCCTGCAGTTTTGTTCATTCTTTTTCATTTTTTTTGGTACCGAGGATTGAACTCAGGATGCACTTGTGAGGCAGGCAGCAGCATCACTGAGCTAAATCCCTGGCCCATTTTTGTTCATCCTTGACAGAACCAAGGCTGAAGTGGTTAGGACTCAAAACCAAAGGCCTGTTGGAATCTTGTACATCCCACAGGCATCAGCAAATTTAGAGGCCCTCTCACCTCAGGCTGTGGAGACTTGAGGCTGAAACCTCAGTTCTCACAGCAGAGAACTAAGGGGTGAGGCAGGACAAGACACTTGGGAGGAGCAGAGAGCCTAAAAAGTCCACTTAGCTTTTCTTTCAAAAGTATTATTTCTTGTAGCGTGTGTACAACATATGCTAATATATTTAAATGATCTGTGTGAATATGCATGATAATAAATACACATACGTTTGAAGTGCTGCTCAATGTCCTTTGTTGGCTGAATTATGCAATCAAAAATGTTGGAGGAAAATGACCAAAGAAACAAGCATGGAAATCCATGGGTAGATTCTCACTGGAACTGGGAAACCAAAGCAGCTTTTTAAAAACAACCTGTTCTGAAGCTGGGTGTGATTGCATAGGCTGAGGCAGGAGCACTGCAAGTTCAAATTCCACTTAGGCAACTGAGTGAGACTGTCTAAAAAATAAAGGAAATGGCTGCGGATTTAGCTCAGTGGTTCTGCCGCCTGCCTCACAAGTGCAAGGTCCTTAGTCCGATCCCGGGACCAACAAAAAAAATTTTTTAATAAATAAGTAAAAAGGGACTGGAGATATAGCTGAGTGTTAGAATCCCCCGGACTTGACCTCCAGTCACACACACACACACACACGGATCCTGTTCTGATTCTGGGCTCTTTCCTGCAGGACTGTCTGTCCAGGCAGCACCTCCTCTATGCCCCCGGTTCCCATGCTACCTGCCTCCCCCGTGTTCCCCAGGTGTCCAGGGCACAGGCTGGCTCCCCCTCCTCTCTTCCTCCCGCACCCAAGGAGGAGGCCAGTGGCTAGGGAAGAGACCAGCGCACCACCATGTGAGGCCTGAGCTCTCTGCTCTTGTGTGGCTGTGGACAGCCGCCTTCCTCTCCTCGTGCGTATTTGTGTGCGACCCCAGCTCGCTCCACTGCCAAAGACGCGCTTGCTTCCTGAACTGAAAACGTGTGTTTTAGATCACATGGAACAATGGACTCAGGAGACTTCGTAAACAAGTTTGAAAGTGCTCACATGAGCCTGGCTTTTTAGACATCCCCGCCACTGTCCTCAGAACAGGGGCTGCTGGCATGGGGACAGCTGGCCTTGGAGAGCCAGCCCAGGGCAGGGGCAGCACCTGGCGGGGGTTGGGGACAGGCAGTGGGAGCTGGGAACCCCAGCAGGCTGGCCTGGGAGACCCTGTGGGGCCTGGTGTGACCTGTCAGGCCTCCTGTCTTCTTCACTTCTGTCCTCCCCTGCCGACTGTGTCACCCACGCTCCTGGGTGCTGCTAGTGCAGGGCAGCGGTTTTCTGCGACGTCCCCTAGAGCCAGCGGCATTCACCAGAGCTCCAGCCACACCTCTCCAAGTTAGACTCCAGATTCTGACTTCTTAGCACAGCACGGCTGCCAAAACCCTCCTTCCTATCTCCTGCTGGAGCGCCCTGGGTGTGTTCATCATGGGTTTGGCCACTGGCTCAAGGGAGAAGAAGGGGTTGCAGAGTTTTTAGGATCTTCTCTGAAATTCCCTTCTCACTGGGCAGCCTCAAGTTCAAACTTACATCTCCCCGATCAGATAAAATGAGCACTTTCTGCTTTGCTGTGTCCCCAGGCGAGACCTTACCTGGTGTGTGTCCCCTTTTGAGGGCCTCTCCCCGGGCCTGGCCACGCCGGGTGCCCCGTGCTTTCTCACATCCCTCTTCTTTCTGCCCAGCTTTTAGTGGCTGCTCCAGTGGCTTGGTGCAGCCACAGCTGTGGCAGAGTGAGGGAGAATCTGGGGGTTGTTCGTGCAGCTTCTCAGGAGAGTTTTCCAGGCCACTGCCTTCTACGGCAACAGCAAAAGTCAATGAGGCTAAGCAGCCAATGAGGCCAACCCTGCCTCAAGGAGAGCGCCAGTGTCAGCTGAGTGTGCCACGTGTGTAATTTAGAATTTTCCAGCAGCACATTTTAAAAAGTAAGAAGAAAAAGAAGCCGGATGTGGTGTGCACACCTGTAGTCCCAGCACTCGGGAGGCTGAGGCAGGAGGATCACTGTGAGTTCAAGACCAGCTTAGGCTACATAGTGAGTTCCAGGTCAGACTCAACTGCAAAGTGAGACCCTGTCTCAAAAACACCAAAAATAACCCTTCAAAAAAAAAAAAAAAAAAAAAAAAAAAAAAAAAAAAAAGGTAAGAAAAGCAGGTGAAACTTTTATAATTCATTCTCTTAATGACAATGTACTAAAAAATCATCATAACCTGTAATCAAGACCAAAATTCTTCATGACATATTTTTTATTTATTTATTCATCATTCATTTATTTATTGTAGTTCAGGCAGGCCTTAAACTCACTATATAGCCCATGATGTCCTTGAAATCCCAGTAATCCTCCTGCCTCAGCCTCCTGAGTGCTGGGATAACAGGCACGTGTCACCACCACACCCAGCTGAGATATTTTGAAGATTTTTTTTATACTTAGTCCTTGAAATCAAGGGTGCATTTTACACTTAGCCACAAATTTTCAGACATTATATTTTTTATTAAAGATACCCCGTGTTTAGATTTCATAAACTTTACGATTAGAAATTTGGATTTCACTTGCCCAAGTTACTCTGCACATAAAGTTGTCCAATAGTGGGGTAGAGAATCCATTTTGAAAATGAAAGTAGTGTAAACTAAATGTCAGTTCCGCAGTGAGTCTAGCACCAGAGACCTGGGGCTTTTGGACAGAAGAGCACTTGGTATTTCTGGGATCCCAGGAAATGCCTGGGCTTCTCGCTTGCGTCTGGCCGCCCGGGAACATTTCCCCACACCCTGTGGACACTGGGACTCAGAGGTAGTCAGTTAGCATTTGTCGGCTTCTAATCGGAATCCTCACACGGACAGCTGCAGGAAGTGCCAAGTAATTCTGCAAGGAGTGATTGCTAATCAACATGAAGGGTGTTAGAAGTGTGCGCAGCGGGCGGCTCCAAGGCAGGGCAGTGGCAGGGGAGCCTGGCGGAAGACGGCGGCTCGCAGCATGGCGAACAGGAAGCAGCGCGAGAAGGGAGGAGCCAGGCCACGCCCCCATGACCCACTTCCTCCAGCCAGGCCTGGCCTCCTCCTGCCGAGTCAGTAATGAGCCCCCCAAACCCAATCACCTCCCGAGAGCACGGCCTGTGAGTGCGTGAGGCTCTTGGGGAGCACGGAGATCGACACCCTAACAAGCTACTGGGGGGATGAGTGACGTTCACCATATGAGGCCTTGCAGATGTCTCCCCCTCACCCAGGGGATTTGAGCCCCGGGAGAACCACGCCGGACTTCCGGCCTACAGAATCTCGAGATAAATTGGTGTTCTAAGCAACTAAATCTGCCGTTATTTTGTTGTGAGAATCTAAGAGACTCGCGAGACCTACCGACTGAAATAGGAGGACTTTATTTCAGGTTTAAAGTGTCCACCGGATTTAGCTCAGTGACACCGCGCCTGCCTCGCAAGCACAAGGTCCTGAGTTCGATCCCTGGTACCAGAAAAAAATAAATAAGTAAAGGTAAAGGAGATAAAGTGTCTACCGGCTCAACAGACTGCAGAAGGGCACTGAACGAAGAGAAACTCTAGTTTGTACAGACTTTGTCGAAGGGGGTGGTTTTTCTAGCAAGTGAGTTTACCAGATCAGGACAAAGGCAGACAGCTTTGTAACTTTGTCTTGAAAGACAGTGTCTTACGAATTCACATGAGAACAGATTGTCATAAACTTTGTTTGCAGGACAGAGTTGTCAGTTTTATCTGTACCAGAACAAAGAGCCACAGCTACAGGGGAGGGGAGTGATGGGGCTCGGACTGTCCAAGGCAGGAACGGACTTGTTTTTCTTTAAATCTTGCTTCAGTTTCTCCCAACAGCAACCGGAAGTGCATCCGTCTTAGACACCCCCACCCGTGGAGCAAATGCACAGCCTCTTGTCCTCTTCCTGAGCCACAATCTAAATTTCGACTGCCCTTTTCCAAGGGCTTTTCAGTGGGGTTGTTGGAAATCCTGGCACCAGTGGAGGTTCACAGAGGACCCAAAACAGCCAGCTGGACTGATGACCTTTGGCCCCACAGATTGCACTTGAACAAATAGGAAACAGCCAGCAACTAGAAACCTCCAAGGGAGCAGTGGGAATCTGAGAAGACTGTCGGAATCCCCTGTGACAAGTGTTATTCTGAGTCGTCTGATTAAATTACTAAACACGCAGCCTGCCAGGACCCCTGCCTGCCCCAGGGAATCTTTCTGGCCTCCACAGGACTCTGATTCCCTCAATCCTGAGCCCTGCTTGAGGATAGTGTTAGTTCCTGGTTACCTTGTCCGCTGTTCTACACTGAGAATATTTTTAAAGTCAGACTGGCAGCAGTGGAGATACAAGAAGTTGGCCTGTGCACAAATATCACTCAGCTGCCTGCCAGACAGAAACAGCTCATGGGCCCAGACAGCCGGGCTCCCCACAGAACAGGGTTAGAACCCAGGCTGGACGTTTGCGTCCACAAAGGAAAGGGCAAGTTTTTAAAATTGTGCTGGAGAAAAATAACAATAGAAAATCGAAGGGCAGTGACCGTTTTTTAAGTGTACTGTTGAGTCCCGAAGTGCATTTGTGCTGTTGTGAAACAGATCTCCAGGACTTTTTAATCCTGCAGAGATAAAGCTGGGTGCCCATTAAAGAACTACTTCCTCTGCCCTCCTCCCGGCCAGCCCTGGAAGCAGCCGCTGTCCTGCTGTCTCTTTCTGGACTTTGACCACATCGGACAGAGGAGTAGAATCACAGTGTCTGTCCTTTTATGACTGCATCCTTCACTTAGTGGAGTGTCCCGCAGGGGCTGGCCCTCAAGGGTACAGCACTTGCCCCGCAGGCCACACACCCTGGGTTCAGTGCCCAAGGAGAAAAGAAAAGCTCTCCACTCTGTATCCTGTGTCAGAATTCCCTTCCTCCTCGGCTGGCACCGAGTTTCCTTTTATCCATTTGTCTCCCGGCTGACCTATGCATGACTCATACTTTCTGTGAATGGCATTTCTGTAAACACGGCTGTGCAGATTTCTCCTTGAGAACCTACTTTCATTTTTGGTTTCTGTTTTAGTTTTTGTTTTAGATCTTGTTTTTGTTTTTCCTTACTGGGAACTGAACCTAGGGCATTCACACTGAGCGACATCCCCAGACCTTTTAAAAACACGTTTTATTTGGCTAAATTGTCCAGGCTGGGCTCAAACCCACAGCATCCCAGGGTGCCAGGTTTCCAGGGATGGGCCGGCCCACTTCTTTCAGGTGCCTGCCCGGAGCTGCTTGCTGGGCCCTGTGCCAGTTCCATTTCTAATTTTTTGAGCCACCACTGTGCTGTCCCCCATTGTGGTGACACCAAATCACAGCCCAAGTAACAGTGCAGAAAGGCTCTGGTCTCTCCCCATCCTTACCATACTTTTTAATCTTCCAGGGTTTTGTTTATTACACACACTCACGGTGGGAGGGGGTGATAGCTCTGTGTGGTTTTGTCTGTGCAAGTTTCCACTTTGCAGGCACGGTCACAAATCACATTTGTGTATAGTTATTGAAGGACACCGGCAGAGCCCACTGGACACCCTTCGTCTGATGAAAGTCACAGGCTGCTCTTGCTGCCACGTGGACCGGGCTTCTGTCACTGAGTCCCAAATGTACCTCACACTGTGCCATCCTGGGTCCGTCCGCCACTTTCTAGGCTCACAGCACCCTTGGGGACGGATACAGACAGGCGCTGTGAGAAGAGAGGAACTGCTAACGGGAGCCGAAGGACTGGCGAATTAGCAGTCGAGGAGAGTTGTTAATATAACAAGAGATTCTTAAGCAGGGTGACCATGAAATAGTGCAGCAGGGACCAATCTTAGACAGCGTCCTCTCCAGCTCTGTTTTCCACAGGTGAGGTTCGCCCGAGGGCCATGATTTTCCCTAGAAGACAATGTGTCGGGGGTGTGATAGGGCTGAGCTTGAGATCCTGGTTCCTGAGCCCCGGTGTAGACCGGCTGTCAGAACAGAAAAGAAACCCAGGTGTGGCGGTGCCCACCTGTAATCTGGGAATTCCAGGAAGCTGAGGAAGAAGCTCACAAGCTCAAACCCAGCCCGGGGAATTGAGCAAAAGTGTGACTGCACAGAGACAAGAAGGCACACAGGGAACACTTGGAGGCAAGTAAGAAAAAACAAACAGCTAGAGAGCATGAGTGGTTAGGACGGTGAGGGAAATGGAAGTTAAAGGCTTTGTGAGCTCACGGGAGACTCGAGTCACGAGCCCTAATCTCAAGAAAGCTGGAAGTCTGCTAAGGCCTAGGGAATGATGTCCCATGGGCAGGAGTGGCTGTGGTGACAAATCCTGCTACAATAAGGAAGGTGGGAGAAGCTTAGGGAAGAAATGCTGGGGATAATGTCACCTCCAATAATGGCAATAACGTCATCTCTACAGTAAGAATCTAGTCAAATTTTAAAGGAGAAATGATCGGATCCTACATTGCCCCCTAGTGGATTTTTTTTTTTTTACTTTTACTGGTGTTCGCATACATTTCATTTTGAGAAATGAATAACAGATATACTCATTTTGTATACAAGACACATACATGTATTTGATCCTCTTCACCCTGCGCTCCTCTCCACCCACTTACCTGGTTTCCCTGTCCCATCTTCTTACATTTTTTTTTTTTTCTCTTGAGGAACTGGGGATCGAACTCAGGACCTTGTACTTGGCAGGCAGGCGTGGCTCCCTTCCCTTTGCCATCTTCAAGAAGTCTACTCCCAGGCCAGGGGTTTGGCTCAGTGGTTCTGCCGCCTGCTCGCAAGCACAAGGACCCGAGCTCAATCCCTGGTACAAAAAA